ATAATAATAATAATAATAATAATAATAATAAATATGTATATATGTATATAAAGGGTTTCTTTATATTTCCATGTAGTTCCTTCTCCTTAAGAGTTGCGGGTATATTGATTCTTTAAAATGAAATACGTCATGTTGTTTTTGCTGCAAGTCAACTCGACCACCCTGTTTTTATAATGAAGTCAGCTAGACCTCGTCTTTATAATATTGAGCTTAAAAACTCTGTTGGAGTGTTTAAGAACAATAAAATATATTTGTAAATACGCATTTCTCCCACTTGGCCAGTATTCTACCACCCATGGGGTAAAAATGCAATGGACTATAAAATGCTTTTGTTTTATGTTGTTCACGTTTTTCTTTACCATTGAAAATATGTATTTTTTTTAACATAGCAACATCAGCTTCACTGCAATCAACTTATTATTCTACAACAAATCTTGTTATCCTTTGAATTAATTCAATGTCATTTTTCTTCAGTCAGGTATTTACGTAGGTTTCATGCCACCTGGCTTATTTTCAACATCTCCAATAATAACTCTACGTCTAATGTACTTTCTTTGTTATTCACCCTACCATGAACATTCATACCTCACGCTCACCATCACATTCGATGAACTATAAAATGCTTTTGTTTGATGTTGTTCAGGTTTTTCTGTATCGTTGTAAATATTTTCTTTTTTTACATAGCAACACAGTGGATTGTATTTCAGATCTGCTTCATTAAAATCAATGAAGGCATTTTTTTTTTATTCCCAGAGAACAGTGTAATTTCACTGTTCCCTGATATTCCAAAACAAATCTTCATATCTTTTGAATTTATATCAATTTTCTTCGGTAAGGTATTTACGTAGGCTTCATGTCACAGTATTATGCACTAGTGCTTTTTTTTGAAAAAATGCTTCCAAAGCAATTGAAATAATCGGTACGACATTAAAAAAAAAAAAGATAAAGTCAGCTAGGCCTTGCCTTCATGGCAGGCCTATTGAGCTTAAGAACAATTAAATATATTTATAAAATAATTGTTTTTTCTTTTTGTCATTCTTAAGATTATTATTATATTTTTATACATGGACAAGTGAATTTACAAATTGGAAGTGTAAATGGTTATACGAGATCTTTAAAAAAGAAGGGAGTTATTTAGTTGGTGTAAAGAAAAACAAAAATATTTGTTGTGATTTTTACAAGAAGCGCATAGTGATTAAAAAAAGGTGTACACAGTGGCAAAGAGAATATGGTTATACTGCAATTTTTAGATGCAAAAAAATAGTGCTGGGGTATCCATATTCCTAAATTGCGCAATCCAAAATTTAGGGAAGAGGGTATTGATGAAATGGGAGTGCACAGCACGTCAGCGCCACCATGGTTGGCAGTGACGTGTAAATTTCAGGATTTTGTACCTCTGAATTTTCGGAAATGGAAATTACAGTAGGCCTACATTACATTTTAATTCTTTTACATGCAAGGTGGTACTTTATACAAAAAAATCTAAGAAGATTACTATTCACCTGAGCCCATCATTGTTGAGGCTGAGAAATGTTCACCCCATTATACAAAAGTAAAAGCAACAGGCAACGCTCTAACAATTATAGACTAATCTCAGTGGAAAGCTAATTGTTGAAAATCAAGTCCAAGATTAAAATAATTTAGATTACATATCTCAATGAAAATGACCTTATAAATGTTGACAAATATGCTTTCAGAAGTACCGTACCACTCATTCGTCTTCACTGTGTAATAGATGATGTTGGGTGGGGAAGCAAAGGTTTTAGGCCTATAGTAATTATAAGATCATTGCGGGAAAGCAAGTTAATGTGAGAGGGCGCTACCGAGGAGAATGAGTTTATGTTCATAAATTTGTGTAATTTTGTTTTCACTTTCAGTTGGCGGAGCTTAGGATCATGGAGCTGAGGTTTGAGTAGGATATAAAGTTTTTTGAGGAAATGCACGCCTACCTGTAGATACACCACTGTTTTTAAATACGCTTATATTTTATTTAATACTAATAATCATCGCTTGATAGGTTACAAAATATGGATTTCTTATTACGTCATTTGTACATTTTTACACCCAATGACAGTCGGGAGTAATGGTACCATTCAAACATGTATTGTTCACACTTTCAGTTCGTGTTTCGAACGCTGTTATCATTTGGTGCGCTATTTAAATTAGATTTACTTATCATCACTCCAAAATATGATGACGTAACTAAGAAATTCATATCTGTTACTACTATTCATACTATTCCTACTATTGTTTTGAAACGTTATTTGGCACCTGCAATAATTTCCACAAATCCCCACGCATCGGAATGAACGTCTCCAAACTAATCGTTTTGTACGGTACATGTTTTCAATATCTGGATCAAAGATTAAGCCAGTCAGAAGCTCGACATCTCTGACTCGAGTGACGTTTGTCTCAAGGAACTCAGTAGGCGGCTGGAAAATAAACCATAACCATTATACAAGTTAAAGCCCCATTCCCGGCAAAATTTCACTAAAAATGACTTTTTTTAGAAAATATGCATTTGCATTACTCCAATTATTATAAATCATGGAAAAATATTGGCATGAATTTTAGTTTTACGCAAA